AAATTTTGGTTGTTTACTCACTATGAAATCAACGTTTTTTTCCTGAGGAGCTGAGAGTGATTTGAAACCAGAATTACTTTCAGGATCACTATGTATTTCCCCTCCTAAATCAGAAAAATGCCAAGCATCTGAGGCTGCAAAAACAAAAAAAATTGGAAAGAACAATATTACAGACTTGTAAAGACGAATTTAATAGCAAATTTTAGTAGTGATAATAAAGTATCATTAATTAATGAGGTTCAAAAACCACATGCAAAAGTCAAAAAAACTTTACTTAAATGTATTATAAACAAGGCACATAAGGAAACAGTAACAACAGTAACAACGAGAGGTTTTTAGATTTAGAAAAATGAATATAACTTACGTCCAGCCACTAAGGGAGAACCCCAAGAAGCGTATTCCTGCCTGGGTAAGACAGTCTCTTTTGGACTAGCAGTAACACGTTTTTTCGTCATGTCATATGAAGATGTCGTAACATGCCTATTAGAGCCGTCCCGCAGGTCAGGATAAGTAACCCTCTCAATATCTCGTAAATCTGCAATTTTTTTTAAAAAAAATCCAGAATAAGACAATTCAAACCCAATGTCTGCCAGCACATTTAAGTCTGAAAGTGTACACTGCTAGTTAACAATTCACAACTATGAAAAGAACTCGACAGCAGACATACATCATACAAAGTGATTACGAATAATTTAATAACTATTGATAAAATCATTCACTCAACTAAAATTAAAAATTTAATTTATTATGCCTCATAATTATAACCTCCCTCTACCCAAAATAAAAACTAAAAATAGTATATACGATACCTTCCGTATAACGGCTAACGGCTAATGAAAGCTTAGTCGAAGGTTCAAGTCCTTCAAGTTTGTTGGATCTTTCAGCTTCACTAGTGACGTACATAGGATAATGCTGCTTCCAGTTTGAAAACCCTCCATCCAAAAAGACAGGAGGCCGTTGCAAACGAAAATTATTATTGTACTAAAAAAACTTAAAAAACTTTTACAAAAGAGAAAAGCAAGAGTGAGTAAAAGGTACAACTCCTCAATCTAGATTAAAGAATACCATATATAAAGCATCAAATAATATCTGTTCCCGGGACCCCTTCTGCAGCCCACCTTCTTTAATTACAGGAGTCTCTGTGCCAACAAGAACAACCAAATCTACTTCGCCCATACGTTGCAAATTCACTCGCTCACTGACTGGTGCCGAACGAATCAAAGTTTGACCGATGTATCTAAAAGGTCCCAAGTTAGCGACCATAGGTAACTCAAGAAGAAATCTGATTTTCTCACAACTGTCATAAAGCTTTGTCAGCAGAAAGATTTTTCAAAAGAAAGAGGATGAAAAACACTCGAACGCTCACCCAGGAACAATAGCATTTGGTGGCACTCGAGCAACAAAAACTCCTTCTGGACGGTCATACTTGATAAAGGAAGAAGAGTCTTCACGATAGTCAATGAAAAGAACTTTCTTCTGATTCTTAACAAAGGTCATAAGATCCCGCGGAAGAATAGTATAAGTAACATCTAAAATTACAATAAAAAAAGTGGGTCTGTTACGACCCAGCCAGTCCTGAATATAGCTAAAATGAAGCATAAAGCCGCTAATGCATGAAAAAAAAGTAAAAAATTACAACTTAAAAAATGCAAAAATCCAATTTATGAAAAGTTTCTTAGGATTCCAAATAATCATTAATTACAAAAAATTCTTATCAAGAAATCGAAATAAAAGGTGTAAATGTCCCTTGTTGGAAAAGCTTTAAAATATGCGCAAAACAGCGAAAAGTCAGATGGAGAAGGATAATACATAGTTTAAAAACCCTAGACAGCAGAAGAAATTCTAATAGTCGCCAACCTTTGCTATCATCAACTTCAGCAGGGCTTTTTGAAGAGGAGATGGTTTCTCTCTGAACAACATCCGGTTTCTCTATTCTTTTCTTCTCATACTGCTCAGTTAAACTTTTTTCTAACTCATCCAACTTTGACAATGCTTCTTCAAAAATATGGCGCAAAAGCCGGCCATCCTACAACCCATTAGCTAATAATATTCTTACTAACCATTCATCCAAACGTATAATCAAAGTGCTATAGCAACCGCTACCGGAGTCATCTTGAAATGGCCGAAGTCATTCTTGTCCTTAATCATACTGGCAATCTCACACATTCTGTAATACAAAATATACGCTTGTTCTTCATCTCCATGCTTTCTTTTATCCTCAGCTTCACTGTGAAGTTTTTCAGCATGACCAAACGCCCTAAAAATAAATGCCTGTATTAAGACCGTTTTAATTTGCTTCGAGCAGTAAATGAAAAAACAAAACTACTCTCTCAAAAAATCTTAAAAAACTTATGCATTTTTACTAGGCCTAATAGTTAAATAAAAATTTTAAAAAAGAAACTGTACGAACTTTAAAGAGTTCAACTTCTTCAATGCATCTCTAGTTTGATGCTGAAGCTGCGAAACATTTTGAAGTTTCTCAAAGTTGTCATACTGTAGAACAGCAGCTGCTTCTTGCATAACCATCAGTCCGGATAACCTTTATCATAACATATAAAATTGCAACTAGTTAATCTTCAATGAAAACGTAGAAAAAAAATCAAAAAAAAAAAAAAAAAAAAAAAAAAAA